GCAAATATAGACAGGTCCTTCTATGAACGAGGAATTATGAAGGTCACTGAAAGATGGCAAAAGGTTATCAGACAAAACGGGCAATATATCATCGATTGATCTTTGTTCTTTATATAAATAAATGACCTTTGAAAAACATAGACAAAATACATCATGACTTTTCCGACAACCCAATACAATCTCATGATAAAACTTAAACATATGAGGAGTTGCTTTTTATGACCAGCAAAGAAAGTGGTTTCTTGAGATGGAATGTACTCCCGGTGAAGATGCTGCAAAGACTGTTGAAATGACAATAAAACATTTAGAGCATTACATAAACTTAGTTGATAAGGCTGAGGCAGAGTTTAAAAGGACTGACTCCAATTTTGAAAGAGGTTCTATTGGTAAAATGCTATCAAATAACATCACATGCTACAGAGAAATCATTCTTGTAAAGAAGAGTGAATCGATGAAGCTAAGTTCATTGTTGGCTTATTTTAAGAAATTACCACAGCCACTCCAGTCTTTAGCAACTACCACTCTGGTCAGTCATCGATGCAAGGCCCACCACCAGCCAAAAGATTACAACTCACTGAAGGATCAGATGATAGTTAACAACATTTTTTAGCAATAAAGTATTTTTTAATTAAGGTATATACATTTTTTAGCATAATTCTATTATTAGGATTAATAGACTATAGTACAGTGTAAACAGAACTTTTATATATTACTGGGAAACCGAAAAATTAATGACTTACTTTACTGAGATATTCGCTTTATTGCGGTGGTCTGGAACAAAACCTGCAATATCTCCAAAGTATGCCTTTATATAAAAACTCCAGACCAGTGGTTTCCAATTGCATTTTGGAAGGCCAAGGTTTAGCTAAAGTTCCCCAGGGCCATGGAAGGAAAAAACAGGAGAGGTGTGGGTGCCTGACTTGGATTGACACAAAATAGCTCCACTTTTCTCTATTTTTTACCTATTGTGGTTTGGCCCAAGGTTTTATTTGTCCTTCAGTTTTTTCAATTAGTAAGTGAAATATGAACCTAATTCAATGAATTTCAGAGCCTGCCCCAATAATTTTGGGAAACTTCAAATAGAGGCACTCCTTATTCAGACTGAGAAACTGGCATGCACAGAGTGTGGAATTTGGCACCAGTCAATCCTGTGTCCTTTCCAGCCCCAACTGTATGTCCTGGGCTTGTGGCTTCCACTCCTGGTGCTTTAAGCTTCTTGTTTAAAATTTGGGAACAATAATTCTGACACTACAGTATTTCTGTGCAGCTAAGAAATGAAAAGCATGTCTACTGTTATGATGATTACCAAAAATTCAAGGCTAGCTTTTTTGGCTCTCTGAGCGGCAGCATGGCAGTCAGCAAGAACAAGCACTTTAGAAGAGGCAGCAAAAAGGGAGCCGAGAAGAAAGTGGTTGATCCATTTTCTAAGACTGATATGATATGAAAGTATCAACTACATTCCATATAACAAATATTAGAAAAACACTAGTCACAAGAACCCAAGGAGCCCTGCATCTGATGGTCTCAAGGGATGTGTTTTTGAAGTGAGCCTGGCTGATGTGCAGAATGATGAAGTTGCATGTAAAAAATTCAAGCTAATTACTGAAGATGTTTAGGGCAAAAATTGCCTAATTTCCATGGCATGGATCTTAACCTGTGACAAAATGTGCTCCATCTTCAAAAAATGGCAACCCATGATTGAAGCTCATGTCAATGTCAAGACAACCAACAGTTATTTGCTTCATCTATTCTGTGTTGGTTTTACTAAAAAACACAGCAATCAAGTTCAGAAGACCTCTCATGCTCAGCGTCAAGTCTGCCAAATCTGGAAGATGATGGAAATAATGACTCAAGAGGTACAGATAAATAACTTGAAAGAAGTGGTCAATAAACTGATTCCAGATAGCACTGGAAAAGACAGAGAAAAGGCTTGCCAATCTATTTATCTGTTCCATAGTGCCTTTGTTAGAAAACTAAAAATGCTAAAGAAGCCCAAGTTTGAATTGGGAAAACTCATGGAGCTTCATTGTGAAGGTAGCAGTTCTGGAAAAGCTACTAGGGATAAGTGCTAAAGCTGAATGAGCTGATGGATATGAGCCTCCAGTCCAAGAATCTGTTTAAAATTCAGATCTTTAGTATGACAAATAAAAGCCTAATTGTGATGTTTAAACAAAAAGAAAATTGAGGCGAAAACCCGTCCAAACATTAATTACTTACGTTCTTTTTCAAATAGTTCTCTAACACCAGGCAAATCTTTTGCTGCTCCAAAGTATTTGTAACCTCGATTTCCTGGGACCTCTTTCCCTTCATGATCCAGCATTTTAGGGCCAACTTTCTTATTGGGAAGAAAAAACAGAAAATGGATCTGATCCTTAAATCCACTATTTCCATATTTGGAAATATATTTTAAGATAATGTTTACCATGGAAAATATTTATATACACAGAAAAATATTTAGGTACTTTTTTATCCTTTAAAAAAATCAACCTAGAGCACGTTGGTTAAGAGTTGGCTTGGGACGCCAGCGCTGAGCAGCAGGGCCCTCGTTCAGATCCCACATTAGGGCCAGTGATGCTGAGCCCTCTACAGCTAAGATGGTGAACAACAGCTCGACCTGGAGCTAGGCTGCCGTGAGTCACCAGTGACGGCGTAGGCTGCAGTGCAGCTGCAGTGGGCTGCTGTGAGCTACCATGAGTGGCTGGCAGCCGGCGTGAGCGGCCGGCAGCCAGCATGAGCTGCCAAGAGCCACCGTGAGCGGCCATCGTCCAGTGGCCATTGACCCATCTGCATCACCCGGGAGGAGCGCAATGATAATACCAACGTGGGCCAGTGAAACGACATCCTCCACAACTAGACTGAAGAAAAAAAGGACAGCAACTTGTTTGTTCCCCTTCCCCGATCCCCAACGCTGTTCCCCTCCCCCAACTCCCCAATAAAAAATCTTAAAAAAAAAAAATCAACCTAAATACCTAAAAGAAGGAGGATGATTTAAGTAAATTATTGGGTTGTCGGAAAAGTCATGATGTATTTTTTCTATGTTTTTCGTTGCAAAAATGCGTCATGACTTTTCCGACTACCCAATATAACAATATTCATGGACGGGATATATTCTATACCTTAAAAATGATGGTTCTTATGAAACTCTTATATTGACTTTGAAAAATGCTTACGATATGATGTGACAAAAGCTTATAAAAAATTGCAAGCCACCTAAATGACAAGTAGTAGAAAATAAATGAAATACCCAGAAGATAGAATTTCATTCATTAAAAATGATCAGGCCATTAACTACATGCAGTATGTGACCCTGGACTAGGTCCCATACTAGAGGGGGGAACACTATAAAGGACATTATTGGGGAAATCGATGAATCAGCCAAGTAGATTATATAAAATGATTGTATCAGAGTTAAATGTCTTATACTTGATAACTTTACCATGTTTATATAAGATAACACTCTTATTCTTAGGAAATATACACAGAAGAATTAAGGGGTAAAGGAGTATCACGCATTTAAGCTTCAAATGGCTCAGAAAAATAAATCTCAATGTATACACAGAAAATTATAAAGCAAATACAGCAAAATATTAAAAACTGGTAAGTCTGTATAAAAGGTATATGGAAATTCACTGTATATTTTTGCAATTTTCTGTGAGCTCAGAAATGCTTTTAAAAATGATTACATATGCGTAAATGATTTACTGACATGAAAATCTGCTCCTGATATACTATTACATGAACAAAGCATATAGATAAATATGAACCAATTTCTGTAAAAATGAACATGAATATGCACAGACAAAATTCTAAAAAATGTTAATAGCAGTTATTTCTGGGTGGTAGAAAAATATGTAATATATTCTGTATCATACATAGAATATATATATCATTTTTTCTTATACTTTACAATTTTTATATTCTTTTCATTTTATTTTTTGCATAAAAGTATATATTGTTCATATAATCAAAATTATCATGTTGAAAAACACAAAACCTAGAACCAAAATTGTACATATATGATCTCAATTAATGGCATTCATAGAAAAACAATGGAGGCTGGCTGAGTGGCTCAGCTGGTTAGAGCTCGAGCTCTGAGCAACAGGGTCTCCAGTTCGATTCCCACATGGGCCAGTGAGCTGCACCCAAGCTGAGCTGCCTGCTGAGCTGGTGAGAGTGCATGCTCTTAACAACAAGGTTGCTGGTTCAACTCCCACACAGGATGGTGGGCTGCGCCCCTCGCAACTAAGTTTGAACACAGCACCTTGAGCTGAGCAACCATGAGCTGGATGGCTCAGTGTGCAACAAGGTTGCCGGTTCAACTCCTGCATGGGATAGTGGACTACGCCTCCCCCACAACTGCTGCGACTGGACTTGGAGCTGAGCTTGTGCCCACCACAACTAAGAGTGAAGGGCAACAACTTGACTTGGAGCTAATGGGTCATGGAAAAACACAATGTTCCCCTCCCCAATTCCCCAATAAAAGTCTAGAAAAAAAAAAAAAAACAATGGAAAGGAATATTCAAGTAGTTGCATCTAGGTAATTATAACTGAATGGTGTTCTGCTTCTTTATACTCTTCTGAGCTTGATGATAATGTATTACCTTTTTTTGCTGTGGTAAAAATACACACGTCATAAAATGTACCATCTTAATCATTTTTATGTGTACAGTTCAGTGGCATTAAATACATTCATAATGTCATGTAACCATCACCACCATTCATCACCATAACTCTTCTCATCTTATAAAACTGAAACTAAATGTATTACTTTTATACATATAAAATGAAAATAAAATTCTTAAGCATTAAAAAAATTCATTACTGTTGACTTTGGGTTGTGGAACTTCAGAATATCTAATATATTAATTCTGTAATGCTTCTGAGGTCACTTTTCTAGGAAGGTTAATAAATTTCTGCATTACTTTAATGCAGTCTAACAGGAAACAAAAGCATCATTACAGAACTGCTGAGGAGGTTGAAGGAGAATTTCCTAGTGCAGTGAGTGCCTAGAACAGAACATGTGCTCAAGGAATGTGAGTGCCTTTCCTTCTACAATGGGAAGAATAAATGCTTCATTTTTATGCCAGGTACTAAAGTGAGAATTATGGTTGTGATGTTAGACCTTCACAAAGGTGAAAAAGACCACCATGTAGAAAAACTGCATGTATTTCTAATATAAGACATTACACCCCACTGATTAGATACTACTGGTTCAAATGACCTGAGGCATCTCTTTTCACAAATGGGTCTGGGGCATTATTTTTAAAAGCTGAGACCCAGTATGGGTTGTGAAATTAATTAAGTGGGTCATAATCATCAGGGTTTTTTTTGGTTTATTTTTAAAGATTTTATTGGAGAACTGGGGAAGGGTAGCAGTGTTGGGAAATTGGGGAAGGGAAACAGCCACATTGTTGTCCTTCAATTTTAGTTGTGGAGGGCGCAGCTAGTTCAGCTCCAAATCCAGTCACCATCCAGCCGCCTGTCAGCAGCTCAGGGTAGCTCAGCTCAAGGTGCTGTGTTCAATCTTAGTTGCAGGTGGCCGTAGCTCACCATCCCATGCGGGAATCGAACCGGCAACCTTGTTGTTAGGAGCACATGCTCTCCCCAGCTGAGCCATCCTGCCACCTGTTGGCAGTTCAGCAGCAGCTCAGCTCGGGCGCAGCTCACTTGCCCATGTGGGAATCGAACTGGCGACCCTGTTGCTCAGAGCTCGTGCTCTTAACCAATTGAGCCACTCAGCTGGCCCCATAATCATCAGTTTTTTAAAAATCAAAATAGACCAGAATAGAAAATACCAAAGTTCATCAACACATACTAAGTATTTTTTTCAACACATTTTTGTCTTTATTGGGTTGTGATACAGTGTGTGCGTGTGTATGTTTTACAGTGGGTCACAGTCCTAAAAGCTTAAAAGCCACTGTTTTAGAATATTGCATTTATAAGAGTCCAAAGAAAGGAAAAGACTGGAGTGCTCCCAGCCCCCTCAGGTAAAAATCCAATAATGGATGCCCCAATTCCTAAGGACTTCAGAGAAGGATGTAAGAGGACCATGGTCATTTTAAACAAGTGGCCCAGAGAGATTAAGTGGCTTACTCAGGAACGACTGGTTGGTAAACACAGGTGCCCTGTCTGCTCTGAGACCTGTGCCGTGGAGTTTAAGCATTATCCAATCCATCCTTTTCATAGGTTTTGTATCCAAATGCAACAGGCACTTTTAAAGGCTTCTTTCATTTCTCGAGTACCTACTCTCCAGCAGGCATGGACTGGGAGCTATAGGCTCCTAGACAGGATCTACCTAGCCTGCCCAAAAGCTCACAAGCTTACTCCCAAGAGCCACTGGGACTGCTGCTTACTTACTCCATAATCAGGACCGCCCAGCTCCTTTATCCGGACCTCCCAGTGTCCTTTCTCTCTTAGAAGTTTGTTAATTTCATCATTCAGGTCACGAATTCGGAATTCACCTAAGCCAGCTAGAAAACAAAAACATTTATATCATTTCTTCAAAATACTACTCAATGTTATACCCTTAAAAATGAACGTCAACACCACAAGGGCATACAGTATAAAAATACTCATTTAATTTTATAAGAAAAACCAATAACACCCAAATAAATGAAAGGGCAAGGACTATGCATAGAGTTCCAACTGACATAGGGAGGAAAAATCCTTGAAAAAAATTTCATCCTTATTAGCAACCAAAGAAATATAAACTGAAGTAATTCTGCAGTTCCATTTACACAGCTATTAAAATCACAAAATCTTAGAGGTGGGAGGACTTAGCATCCAATTCCAGCAAAGATGCAGTAAGGTTGGCATAATACTCGTGGCTGGAAGCATTGTATTGATTTAGTCCTTTCAAGAAAGCAATGTGTTGTTAAATGGGAACATTGTTTGTATAGCCTGAGAATTAAGCCTAAGGGACAAATTTAAAGAGATGGGCACAAAGGAGTTTGCTGAGGTGTTGTCTATGGCAGCCAAGAGCTGGGGCATCCCACCACAGAGTTAGAGGGAAAACAGTTCATGAGCCCTCATATATTGAAATAATATGGCTCTTGTAAGGGAGTAGCCCTCCTTTTCTCCATTGAATTGCTTTGTACCTTTGTCAAGTCAGTTAATCACATAAGTGTGGCTATACTTCTGGACTTATTATTCTGTTTCATTGGTCTATATGTCCATCATTCACCAATACATTATCTTGAATTCTGTAGCTTTATATTAAACCTTGAAATTAGGTAGTATGAATACTCCTATTTTGTTCTTTTTCAAAATTGTTTTGGCTATTCTACTTCTCTTGCTTTTCCATTTTTTCAACATATAAAAAATTTTTGTCAACATATAAAAAAAAATTTTGTCAACATATTAAAAAAAAAATCCTGCTGGGATTGATTATGATAGTATTTGAAAAGAAAAAGAATTGATATCTTTCCTATACTGAGTATTCCCATCAATGGATACTGTATATGTCTCCATTTATTTGGGTCTTTTTTATTTTCTTAATCAGTGTTTCATAGTTTTCAGCATACAGATCACACATATTTTGATTTATATCTAAGTATTTCTTGTGTTATGATGCTTCTGTAAATAGCACTTTAAAAAATGTTCTAGTTCCTAATATTCATTGCTAGTATATAAAAACAAAATTGATTTGTGTGTTTTGATCTTTTATTCTAGGACCTTGCTAAACTCAATTATTCATTTTAGAAATCTTTCTGTAGATTCCTTGAGATTTTCTACATAGAAAATTATATCATCTAAAAATAGAGCATTTTATTTCTTGCTTTCCAATCTATGTGCCTTTTATTTCCTTTTCTTGCTTTATTGCACTAGCTAGGAATTCCTGTTATAATATTGAAGGAAGAAAACACTCAGTTTTTCACCATTAAGTATGGTGCTACAGTTTTTTTGGTAGAAGTGCTTTATTGAGGTAGAAAGTTCCCTTTCATTCCCTGTTAACCAAGAGTTTTTATCATGAATGAATGTTAAATTGGGCAAATATTTTTCTGCATCTACTGAAAATGATCACATGGTTTTTCTTCTTTAGAATGGTGACATAATGAGTTATAGTAATTTTTAATGTAATTTATTAATTGAATATAATTAATATTAATATAATATCAATTTGAATTAATAAATTTTGAATGCTGAATCAGCCATACATTCCCAGAATAAATCCCACTTGGTTGTGATATAATATCCTCTTTATAAATTGTTGGATTTGATTCGCTAGTACTTAGTTGAGGGTTTTTATGTGTATATTCATAGGGAATATTGGTCTGTAGTTTTTTCTTTTCTTGTAAGGTCTTCTGATGTGGGTATCAAGGTAACATGTACTAAAATTTATAAAATGAATTAGGAATGTTCCCTCTTCATTTTTCAGGAAGAAACTGTATAGAATTGTTATTCCTTAAATGTTTGGTAGAATTGGCCAGTGAGGCCATCTGGGCATGAAATTTTCTTTGTTGGAAGGCTTTTAACTATGAATGCAACTTCTTTCATAGACATAGACTACTCAAGTTATTTATAGCTTTTTAAAAGTGTTTCTAAACAGTGGCCTTACTGACATTTTGGGTAAGATCATTCTTTGTAGGATGCTTAGCAGCATCCTTGGCCTCCATCTACTAGATACCAGTAGCAACAATCAAAATTTCTCCAGATACTGCCAAACGTCCCCTAGTGAACAAAACAGCTCCTGATTAAGAGCCAGTTCTTTTTTTTTTTTTTTAAAGATTTTATTGTGGAATTGGGAGAGGGGAACATCGCTGGGGAATCAGGGAAAGGGGAACAGACAAGTTGCTGTGCTTTTATTCTTCAGTTTAGTTGTGGAGGACATCGCTTCACTGGCCGATGTTGGTATTATCATTGCGCTCTTCCTGAATGAGGCAGATTGGTCGCCGGCCTCTGGACCACCACTCACGGCAGCTCTTGGCAGCTCACGCTGGCTGCCAGCCACTCACGGTAACTTATGGCA